AAGAGAGCTCCTCCCTTGACGAACAGACCAGAAGAGGTCGCGGGGGCGTTGTAGAAGAGCGAACCGGCGATCTAAGAGCGGAGTCAGTCATAAATTCGAATACATCTTGTGACACTGCATAGTAGCTCGGAGTGGAATGGTGAGACTTACGAGTGCCTGGAAGAGTGTAGAACCTTGCTTGATGATGAACGTCGCTTTGTCTCCCCAGAGGATCTGGTATTGCCGAGCCACACAGGCTTTCACCTGGTTATAGAACGAGACTGTCATGGGAGATGATGCTGGAAGATGCTTTGACTTGTCTATCGCCATAGCTTCGACAAAGGACTGGGTGTTCGACTTTGCGGCGTCACTTGTGGGATATGACAGTTCTTGTTCCATGGCAGCCTTGATGGAAGACCGTTGGTAGGCCTGCTCTAGCTCAATGTTGTTGCGTGGGAAGCCTTCAAATCCGGATCTGATCTGTCGCTCAGATGGTACTGTCACACCAGTGAGGAAGTCGGCAACGTTCGCACCCTCGCTGCATACGAAGCCCTGCTCTTCCATGAAGGGTCGAGCTTGTTCGCGAGTGCCGTAGAAAACTTGCTTGCCCTCGTCGAGCACGAGGACTTTGTCGAAAAGGTCGTAGATACCGTTGCCTGCCTGGTATAATGTGACGATTGTAGCAATGCCCATCGCGTCTGTCAAGCATCTGAGAGCACGAGTGTACTCTAGAGCAGTGCTTGCGTCGAGACCACGTGTGGAATTATCCTGTGTCATGTCAGCGTCCATCATTGCGGATGCGAAAGAGCTTGTTGTCCTCAGCTTCATGGATGGTTGGTGAACTTACCCAGCAGGCTACGCTGGCGCGATTGGCCAAAGTCTCGATAATAGAGACTCGTTTGCGCTCTCCGCCAGATACACCGCGAACAAAGGCGTCGCCAACCTTGGTGTCCTCGGTGTGAGATATTCCCATAGAATCCATTAAGAATGACTTGAACTTCTGGCGATACTCCTCGGGAGTGGCGGAATCCCTCGGAAGAGTACGTGGGATGTTCAGTCTTGTAGCGAAGTCCATGGTCTTGCCTACTGTGAGCGTAGGGAAGAAAAGCTCCTCTTCGGTGTTGATGACGATGTTGCCGCGATATTTTTTGGCTTCCTTGGCGTCCATCGAGCCAAAGTGCACATCGCCTTCGACTTGTGCGTACCCCTTGCGCTTGTTGGCGAGCATCTTCAGTAAGGTGGTGCATCCAGATCCAGGCCTTCCCAGCACCAGCAGCATCTCGCCCGGCTGTACGCTGCCGAAGCTGTTGTCGAGAATGGTCTTCAGTTCTGGTTTTTGTCGTGACTCCTTGATCTGCTGTGGAATGTTGAACTGGCTGAGCACATTCTCCTGCAAACGTGCGTCTGAAGGCACCACTTTGACAGTGAGCCCGCTCCATGTAACACCAAGTCTTCGTCCATCGGTTGGATCGTTTTGCTGAAGATCCTTCACATCGCTTGCCAGCCTCCATTCATCCACCTTGGTCTTGGCGGAATCGCTGTCTGCACTGTCGTCTTCTCGTTGGATGTTCTCGTCTTGTCTTGATTTGCCGGAAAATGTGCGGGATAGTGTTCGCATGATGTCTTCACCAGCGCCGGAAGGTATGTTCATACCGCTGCTCCTCCTACGGCCCTCCATTTTGGCGTTGATCGAACAGTCCGTCCAGGATTCTCGTCTTTCTGAGATGTGATGATGATAGCGACTAAAGATCGGATCCCGGAATTAGAGGTGAAAGCTTCAAGCAGGTACTACTCAAAAGAATATTGGGGTTGTAGTGATATACATGAGCCTATGGGGACTGCTGTGGGTCCTGATCGATTAGAAAAGTCTAGGGAGAGTCGGGCGTCGACATTAGCGACTCCGAGCTTACTGACGTCGCAGGCGCAATTGCGTGCATTACTTCCTTCAACGGACGAAGCAGGGGCTCACACGAGGCAGGAAGCCACGGGCACCGACTGCTGCGGAACGACTGCATACGGCCAAAATTCGGTCATCTTGATTGGTTCAAGAGGCTATCCAGGCAGCAAGTGCAGATTCGGCAGTCTAGACTGCCCTGATGCTAGATTCAGGGTCAACTAGAGACAAAGTCCCTGCTTCCTGTACTGGGCGCTGTTGTAGCGGGGCGGAGCTGAAATTGGTCCTGATAGCGTTTCTTAGCGGATGGTTTGAGGATCGATTCGGGCTCGGCCGAACGCCTGAAGCACCGAAGAGCGACCCAAACCCGTGAAAACGGTTCCACCAGGGCCTCAATGTGTCGGACATGCTCTCCGCGAGGTTTCAACTAATCGTAAAGACAGATTTGTAGCCATCGGCATGTGGAGGGCCACACTAAATTGTCGATGTGCTCTTAATGCTCGCTGTTCGTACCTTCGAGTGACCGGCTTGTTGTGCGAAATCAGTATCCACACTCAACAGATTGCCGCTTTGCCTGATCACAAATCCTACGCGTTTCGACGCGACAACCTTACTTTCGTACATGTCGTACATAGTACCGTACGTACCGTACATTGCTTGTACGAACATGCGGGCGAAAGGTTGTACCGGTCGCGATCAGGGCCGATTACAGCGTGCGCTCAAGTACCGAGCGATGCGTCATGAATTTGTCGAAGCACGACACCGCTCGCGCGCAAAAGACCGAATACCGATGACGACAGTCAGCAACGCTTACGTGTAAAGACGTTTTGCTGTTCCATGGATGGCGGTGCAGAGCGGAAGTGCGGAATGTGTCTGGAGGCAGAGAGCGGGTTCCGCGGCGTCCGAATTCGAGATGGCGCCAAGGTACTTGGCATTGATTCACTCACCAGATAGCAGTGCACGTTTCAATGCTTTCGCTTGAGATTCAAATAGACGACTAGTCTAACTCACGAGGAAAGTGTTACAGGGTTAGTATACAGTAAGGATCTTTAGATACCGGTTAGCAACTTTTCGTCCCTCAGATGCGCGCGCGCGGACGTCATCGCATGCGACCCCGATCGTCGGGATCGGACGGCGTGCACAGTGGCTGCCGTCCCGTCCCAGGATATGCCCATTGCATACACGCATCCTTGGACGCCAGCAGCTGACACGCTTTGTCGTATACCTTGCACCATCATTGGGCACTCGAACAGCTCCAAATAAAGCGCACCTACCTGAACGCCTGAGGGGTCACATATTGTATACTAAGGTTAGCGGAATTCCTGGAAGATACCGCAGAAACAAAGAGAAGGGTTGTTCACCGTCATCTCTGTGAATGCTGCTATACACTGTCGTCGGCCTCCATATATGAGCAGACAGTGGAGGTTAAGATGCCACTAACCTTGTCAAAGTAAAGTTGCATGCAGCATGCTTTTAAGCGAGCAAATTTGACCAACCCCTCGTTCTACTCCACGAAGAGACTCATCCCATGCCGTCGTTATCTATGCAGACAGCATGGTGGTACGTTCGAGGATATGTAATGTTTTGTGAGCCGAACTTCCATCAAATCACGTGAACCAATCCTTCACTTTGAACATCAGCATCGGTGGTTTAGTGGTAAAATTAGCCGTTGCCATCCATCTTGGACAGTTTCGGCTAGCCCCGGGTTCGGTAAGTTTAGATCGTCCACTTCATTCGATCCATTGTTCTAACAACACGATAGATTCCCGGCCGATGCAACACTCGCTTTCTTTTTGCTGCCACCCATCTGTGTACGACAATACTTTTTGCTCTTGCTTCATCTGAATTACTGCGGGCTGTACCCAGCACATTGCAGAGAGCGCGTTTAAGGCTACAACCAATGCGATCTAAAAGCTCGTCCGCACTAGACAGCTTTACGCCTCGTTTGTGTTAACCGCGCTTTCCTTCTAGTAGGACGTACGGGGTGGACCGAAAAGCGATATAACTTCCAATAATCTTACAATAATCCTATCACCATGGCGTGTAGCAATGTCAGCCCTCTTCTTCGCCTGCCCCGCGAACTGCGCGATCGGATCTTCACATACGCCCTTCACGAGTCAGACGGCCTCATTTTCCATCGGGAAGATGACTACAAGGCATACTTCTGTACCGACTGGCGCCAACCACGGGACGCCAATCAGCTAAAGTACACTTGCTGGCAGCTTCGCTCGGAGACACTCAAAGTCGAATGGCAGCTCAATGACCTCGTCTTTCTGTGCCACCCGGAACGACGCGGCAAGTTTATGGAAAGAACACCCCCTGTACAGCTCTTAGGCTTCCTAGATATGTGCAGTGAAAGTTGGAGACAGCGAATTCGTTGCATCGTTCTGTTGGCTCAAGAACATTTTGGGAACTACGGCAGCCTCTCGGATTTGAGTCGCCACGTCCATGATGTAAACCTCGTCGCCCTCACCAGCGAGAACTATCCTCACATGACCGTGAGATGGCACCTCAATCTTGAACAGAACTCGCTGAGCGATCTTATCATGTACGGCCTCGTAGTAGTACGAGGTCTTCGTGGCAATGTCGTCGCCGTAGAGAATATCCTCAAAGAGCTAGGAATGAAACCCGAGTCTGTCAGAATGGGGTCATTCTTGCAGTCTTGGTGTCGCGAATGGAGGCGCTGCTGTGGTTTCAATGCGTACGAGAACGTACTTCCGGAGCGAAGATTCCGCATCGTTCCTTTCGGTGAGATTATGGACGCAGAAGACCTTCGCATGAAGATGGGCTGGCGCAAGGCTGAAGATGATCCCACTCACTGGGATGCTCCAGGGGCCGTAGGTGCTCACTACTTCGAGAAACGTCTTGCTCTTGCGATGGAATGGGCAAAAGATGGGTTCTAGGAGGATGGCAAAGCATTGTTGTCGATCGTTCCGCGCTTTATCGCAGTCCTTCGTCATGGCTTCGGCACTCAACGATATTTGTAAGATCTAATTAGGTCGCTATCTACTTATTCAGAATATGAGATCTTCTCAGCCTTGACTGCGGCTCTTGGATCGGTCTGGAGTTCTGGAGGGTGTTCTGTCGATTGTCTTTCATTCACCGTATTGTCTTTGTGCACATGACAATGGCTCGTGCGCACTCTTTGTCGGCATTCCAACTCCTACACAACTTGCATTCCAGCTTTTTCTTTACGTGGTTGTATCATCGCCCCATTTCCAAATCGCATTTCCAAATCCACACTATCTCTACACCCCGAACGAATATACTATCACACAGCCTTGATACAGAAAGCTGCAAGCGCTCTCGCTATGTCTCATTACGCGCCTCAAACCACCAAGGCCAAGTCCCATATAGCTCCGCTCGTCAAAATATACGTCTGGCGGTGTCCGAACGAGAGCTGCAGTCACGCCAACGAGACAATAGCTAGCGAGGAGGGCAGAATTAGAGCAATATCGAGTGGTAACGAGCTCCGAGAGCCTATGTGGTACACTAGGAAGTGCGAGAAGTGTAGCGAAGAAGCTGGTAGGGGATGCTGTCTTCTCGAGGTCAAGCTCCTTCCGCCTGAGGATGAAGCGAAGGGGAAGGGGAAGAGGAAGAGGAAGGTGCCAGTGGACGATGACATCGAAGGCAAGCGCTGAGGTGAAATGGCATCTACGCGCAAGCTCGATATATCAATTTTGCTACGTCGACGAAGTGTACGCGGCTTGACTTAGTAAGAGTTGAGAGATTCATCTGCTGGGGCGCCCATGTCGCCTTTAGGCTGGTTGATGGTCTGAGCATGTCATCGTCTGCAACACACGATAACTTCCTTTGTTTTCTGAGCATGGTCATGATGACTGATATCTTACGCGAGATGGGTCAGATCTCAATGTGAACCTTAAACACTTGTATCGTTGAGAACGCGTCTAGATATCCGATGTTCAGGTTCACGCGTCGTGCTAAGCCGCATCCGTCTTCGCGCGTTCTCCGGACGCGCGCAGGCAGGCGCAAACATTTGAACCTCTACTGACGTACTGCTTGAGAGCCAGAGCTATCAACACCTATTGACTGTGATTCACCTGTAAAAACTGGAAGCTTGTGGGGTAAAGAAGAGGGGGCATTGACCCCAACACTCGGTTCCAATACAAGCAGGTAAAGAGGGAGCCATCTCTTGCGGCCCACGTTCACCCTCATTGCGCAGCCGCTGCAGCTCTCAAGTTCCTGCAGCTGATTACGCATCATCGAATCCAGCAGTGCGACTTCCAACGTTATTTCTCCGGAATGGCTCCTCCAGCGTTCGGCGCGGACTCAGCCGACGTGGGATATGTGGCCAAGATGCAATGCCGAAACATGCCTTATCCTATTTGAGTTGCCATTGGTAGGCTAAATGCGCTGCACGGGGCTATGGACACCACTTGCACTCCCACGACTCTCCATCAGCATATCCGCGCCAGCAAGAGTGGGCGATTGTTGTCGTGGCGACCTGTCATGAATCGCTCTAACGATACCTGTTTCTTCGGCAAGGTTGTGGAATACTCAGGCGTTTGTTAGGTACTGCCAACACGGAATGCATCGCGACTCCATCGCACATCGGCATGTGCAAGCGAACACGGGCAATCATGCACAGAGAACGTGGTTCAGGACACCGCCTTTCGGCACATACTGGGAGGGGCCGCTCCTCAATGCGAGACTAGCCCTGAAGCAAGCAGGATGAGCGTTGAAAGTCGCAAGCGAGGAACCAGTGGAAGGGTTCGTCCGCGTTCGCGCAGCGACTTCAAGATGGCATGCGCCTCAACGGGAGCCGCACCTATTCCCGCCTTTCCCGCCTATAACTCACGCCACTCGAGTCAGTAATCTCCTGCCTGAGCGGGCTATCATCCATGGCTCATGACTATTCGCCGTCTTATGCGTGCCCAAGCGATTCAAGCAGCAAGGGCGAGAAACTCATAATACGCTCGATTGAGGCCTTGCTGACGGCCGCTTCCACCAGTAGAGGGTCGCGTCGACATGCAAGGAACCAGATTCAAGCTCGGTAAAGGAGTGCCATCTCATCATGTGTCTTGCCTCTCCTCGGGGCCCGATCCCTGTCTTAAGAAATCCTTCCCCCAGTTTTCATCGACTCTTTCCTATCCGAATTGAGAGAATGAAGCACTGTGCAGAGATGCTGTGCTTACTCCTAAACCATGATCTTTTCAAAGAATCTATGCTTCATATAGCACAACCTACCGAGCGAACGTTTTCTAGCGCACCAGTTTGCCCACTTCCTTTTGCAACGACCCACGACGATGTCTGACCCTAATGCGACACTCATTGAGTGCCGCGCCGAGTACGCGGTTGGAAGTGCCATCATCGCCGCGAGATTCTTCACTAGATGGAAGACACTAGGATGGAGAGGATTCTACTGGGACGGTAAGCTCTGGCTGTACGAAGTACATACGAGACACATACTGACTTCGTACCCCTACCTGTTCAGACTTTTTTGCCTTCACCTCGTGGGTCTTTTTCACCTTGATCTATGTCATGGTGGAGTATCTCAGTAAGTTGACCACCGCAAGTCCCTCGGTATTGCATCAGCCGACTAATACTTCTCCAGACGTAATGGGTGCGCCTATAGCCATGTCACAAGAGCAGCGTGAAGCGCTTCCACCTGCAATGCGGAAGTCGATGCGAGAGGGCGCAAAGGGCATGTTCGCGTCTTTCTACTTCTTGATATTCCTAGTCTGGAGTCTGAAAGGATCTCTCATCATCCTGTTCCTCCGTTTGACGTGAGTTCATCTCTCCTTTGAGAGAAAACAAATGCTCACTTGCTGGCACAGGAGAAGCACTAGGCTCTACTACTACGTCCAGGCCGTAGCCGGTATCTCGGTTGCTGCATGCATAGCCGCCATCATCACGCAGACAACGCACTGTTTGCCCTTGAAGAGAAACTGGCAGATCCTTCCAGACCCAGGCAAGGAGTGTTCAGCCGGCATTGTCATCAACATCGTGATCGCCGTCGGAAACGTCTTGTGGGTATCACTATACAATCCAGTGATTAGAAGCTGACGCATTGACAGAGTCGATGCTTTGCTGCTGGTCGTACCTTTGTGGATGTTGAAAGATGCAAAGATCAGCCTCTGGCGGTAAGTTCACGCGCGACCTGGACAGAAGCCAAAGCTAATCGACATCACAGCAAAATTCGCGTCATTTTTCTCCTCTCTCTCGGTCTTTTCGTTATGGGGATGGCAATCGCTCGCTGTATCCTATCTATCGGCTCCTCTGTTGAGGTCGCTCTTTCCTCAGTATGGGCACAGCGCGAGGCTGTAAGTCACTACTTTTGACATACCACACTACGATGATATCTAATAACTTCGAACAGATAGTATCCATCTTTGCAGTCAACGCACCCGTCATCAACAGCCTGTTCAGAGCCGAGACGTGGAAGACACGGCACTCTTCGGACGGCTACGTATCGAAAGAATCCAACCGATCGCGATCGAACACGGGTACATTGGAGAAGATCAAGAAGAAGAAGACTGGCTTTGAGATCTATAAGATGACGGATATCGAGACGACGATGACAGACTTCGAGACAAGCAGCAAAGAGAGCACAACGGAGCTGTTCAAGGAACCCATGCTGTCTCCAGTGCCTTCACAATGGAGATGTTCGGCGCGTGGAGGGAGTCAAGATGGTCGTCCTGGGAGTAAGAGCATGGTTTGAACGATATCAGGGCGAGATACGTGCCCCTTGGGCTATCGCGACAGCGTGCCGTTTGGCGCTATTCTACGACATATAGCTTTGCTCCGCGGAGAGGTGAGCAAGTTATGCACGGCTTCTGAAGACGCTCTTGATGTCAATAGCGGTTTTATAAATTTAATAGAGACGACACACATAGCTCGCAACTTTCGCTTCCACCTATAACTGCTCGTTACAGCCGACGGCGACTTGATGCCCACGACAGCCAAAATCATCCCACTTGAGCCGTTGAGATTATGACCTGCAAGATAAGGCCAACCCCAGCAATAGCAGCCACGACGGTGTCCCGAAACGAGTCATGGACATGTGTTAACGTACGCTAAGGATCAACTCCCTGAGCAACCCCACATGTGCCAAGCTGTTATTGCCGTCCGCGGTATGCGACATCTCGTGGGATGACTGGGGTTTCTGGGAAGTGGACCTGAAGAGTCGTGAACTTGCGAATGTGTAGTAAACAGCAATGAAGCATGAATCATGTTGACGTTCCTTAAGTACTGTCCGCTATCCGTCCCTTCGGAAGACTATCATCTCATACGCGAAACTAAACATCACCTAACATACACAATATGGCATCTATCACCAGCACCCTAGACGCGATCAGCCCCTTCCAATTCTCCACAGATGTCGAGCGCTTCGAAGCCAAAGAAGCAGCGCGTCGTTTACTGACCCGCCTCGAAACGCCATTCGAGCAAGGCTGGAGACTCTCTTTCGAGACACCCGTGCTCGTAGCTGGTGTCCAGACTATTCTTGATCTCGGTATCTGGAAAGAATGGAGGGATGCCGACCAGAAGGACCCTGGTGCCCCAGTACACTTGGATCAGCTGCTGGAGTGGGCGAACACGAAGGCTGAGCCGAACTTGTTGCGTGGGTGTATCGCATTGCGGAAAAGAAGTGTAATGCTAATTTGCGGACTATAGGAAGGTTCTTGAGACACATTGCTGCTCTTTATGTATTGGAGGAGACGGATGTCGATACCTGGAAGCCCACACCCTACTCGCTTTCTCTCGGCGACACGGTATCGCATACCGACCAGATTATAAAGTGCGGGTACGTACAACCCAAGCCCCCAATTTACACACAAAGGCATCCAACTAACCCAAGTCCAGCATCGACCATACCATCCCCACTGGATGTAACCTCCCCGGCTTTCTCAAAAAGTACAAATACCGCGAACCCATCGACCTCACCCAGCTCGACAACTACCGCGACATGACCAACGGATCAGACTTCTTCGCTACTTGCGCAGCGGATCCGCAAGGGAAGGGAAGTAGTTTCATGGGTCTGATGACCGCATTGCGAAACCATAAGATGGACTGGACGGACGTATACGACACTAAGCGAATCGTAGATGGCGCAGAAATCGAAACCGGGAAGCCGTTGTTCGTGGACATTGGTGGCGCCCACGGTCTCGACACCTCGCGCCTGCTAGACAAGCATCCTGATCTGCCCGCCGATGTCTTGATCCTGCAAGATACCCCAGAAGTCGTAGCGATGCCAATCGAGGACTTGGACAAGAGGATCGTGAAGCAGGCTTACGACTTCTTCACCCCACAACCCCAATTGTATGCGCGCGCCTACTTCTTCCATGCCGTACCGCACGACTGGCCCGACGCGGACTGCGTACGCATGTTCTCGCAAGTCGCCGCAGTGTTCAAGCGCGGATACTCCAAGCTCCTGATCTACGAGGTCGTGTTGCCGAAGAAGGGTGCGACAAACCTGATGACGACGCTTGATCTGCAGCTCATGAACTGTACGAGTGGAATGGAGAGGACAGAAGAGCATTGGTCGCGGTTGTTGAAGGAAGCCGGGTTTAGGATTGTGGAGATAAGTCGGCATCCCAGGGCGGTGGAGAGCGTTATCGAAGCGGATTTAATGTAGTTGTGAGCTTGTCGCTCCAGATAAGTTCAAACTTCAAACTTCCAT